CGCCCCCGAGCCCCCTCCTGAGTCCACCAAAGTAACTGTTCAGACCCTCAGTTCAGCCAAGGAGATGACCAGCTCCCCTGGCGTCAGTCCCCGCAGCTCTCCTGGGCCGGAGGGCACCTCTCTTCGGCAGGGCCCCCCTCAGAAACCCTACACCTTCCTGGAGGAGAAGGCCAGGCAAGCAGAGGGGAGGGACGGAGAGGGGAGGGGGGAGTGGGCGGACCGAAGGGGACACAGGAATTCAGAGGAAAAACCGGACTGCCCACCCAGCTTGGAGAAGGTGCTGAGGTCTGGGTCATCAGCACTGTTGAGCTCCAATTTTCTCTGGGCCACACACTGTGCTAAGCTCTGTAGCCATATGACCCCATTTCATCTTCATCACTTGGAGAGGAAGCCACTGCATTGTTATCATCACCCATTTCACAGATGGGAATACTGAGGTTAGAGAGGTTATGGGATTTGCCTAAGGTACAGAGTCACTGAAGGGCAGAACTGGGACTTGAACCCAGATTTCTAAGATTAAACCCCGGAGCCCACACTTGGGTCCCTGCTCGCCAAACCCCAGTCCCCTTAGCCTTCACAATGGTGGTGTCCCCCGCTTTCCTCTAAGCCTGTGGTGTCCCCTTAACACATAGGGGGCGCTTTGGTGTAGTGCGTGCATGCCGGGAGAATGCCACCGGGCGGACGTTTGTGGCCAAGATCGTGCCCTATGCAGCTGAGGGCAAGCGGCGAGTCCTGCAGGAGTATGAAGTGTTGCGAACGCTGCACCACGAGCGGCTCATGTCCCTGCATGAGGCCTACATCACCCCACGTTACCTTGTGCTCATCGCTGAGAGCTGTGGCAACCGGGAGCTCCTCTGTGGGCTCAGTGACAGGTAGCTGGGCATTCCGGGGGAGAGGGAATGAGAGCAGAGGAAGCTGGGCTGAGAGATCACCTGTCTTCCCTGGACCGCCAGGTTCCGATATTCAGAGGATGATGTGGCCACCTATGTGGTGCAGCTGCTCCAAGGCCTGGACTACCTCCACGGCCGGCACGTGCTGCACCTGGACATCAAGCCAGACAACCTGCTGCTGGCCTCTGACAACGCCCTCAAGATCGTGGACTTCGGCAGTGCCCAGCCCTACAACCCCCAGGCCCTGCGGCCCCTTGGCCACCGCACGGGCACACTGGAGTTCATGGGTGAGGGCACCACGCCAGCCAGGGTGGGGGGTTGGGGTACTGCCAATGGGACAGCAGCCATAGTTTCCCCCACTTCACCCACATATATGCCATTTATTGGGTGCTTACTGGATGCAAGAAATGAACAAAGTCCTTTCTATGTTTTTTTGTTTTTTGCCCCCAGTGTATCTTCACAATAGCGCTGGAGATTGGCATAACATTACTTCCATTTTACAGATGAGGAAACAGAGGCAGAGTGAGGCTATTTGTCCCATTTAAGACAGTTTCCAAAGGTGGAGCCAGGATTTGATAAAGCTGAAAAGATAGGAGAACCAATATTAATTTATATAAGTAAGGGAAACCAGCTCCACTTAGCTACCTGCTAAATACTTTATGTTCATTATCTGTATCCTTTAGATTTATTCTGGAAGCCACACTTTACAAATGAGGAAATTGGATCGCCAGACGGGTTTAATACATTGCCCAGGGTCCTATAGCTAGAAGGGGCAGGCCTGGGATTGTAGCCAGCCAGGCCGATTCAAAGGCTCTTCATCTTTGTGCTGGCCACATTCATTGTGAATGGGCACTCCACCTTGGAGCTGACCCGAGGGAGCCAGTGACCCTGGTTCCCAGCAACTCCGGGGTTCTGGTGACCACACCATTCAGAGCCTGGGCTGATTCCTCAGGTGCCCACAGCTCCCCTGGAGGCCACCCCCACTTCCACCCTGCCTGCTGCTCTGGTCAGACCCACCTCAGGGTGGTGGCCTCAGGGGCCTCCCCAGCCTTTTCCTGCTTCCCTGCCACCAGGAAACTGGTTCAACTTGGCCTCTGTCTCCTGTCAGCTCCTGAGATGGTGAAGGGAGACCCCATCGGCTCCGCCACAGACATCTGGGGTGCGGGGGTGCTCACTTACATCATGTGAGTGCCCCGGACCCACCTTCTGCCCACGGTCTTCCCCCTCCCCAGCACGTGTGTACCCAGGTGCCAGTAGCCCTGTCCCTGAGTGCTGTGCCCCTGAGGACCCCCATACTAATGTCTCCCTGGACCTGTGAGTTCACCCTCTGTTCACATGTCTCAACTGAACTGTCTCCACCACAGGCTCAGTGGACACTCTCCGTTCTATGAGCCAGACCCCCAGGAAACAGAGGCTCGTATTGTGGGGGGCCGCTTTGATGCCTTCCAGTTGTACCCCAACACCTCCCAAAGCGCCACCCTCTTCTTGCGAAAGGTCCTCTCAGTACACCCCTGGTGAGTGGGCCCTACACCTGCCAACCCCCCAGTATTACCTCCTTGGCCTCGGACTGCCCTGGTCTAGCCCATGCCCTGGTCTAACGCCTCCCCTGCCCTCGGTAATACACTGTTGCTACTACTACTAAGTGGTTGTCCTACCCACCATTTAAGACCTATGACACAAGCAGAATCACTGTCCCCATTCCAGAGACTGGGAAACTGAGAGTTGCCCAGAGTCACTCACTAGGGGTAAATCCAGGCATGGGACTCAGCTATCTGGGAGGACAGAGCCCAGCCCTGCTCTAGGCTGTCCCTCCAGGCTCACCATTCCTGGCTGGGCCTGGCAGGAGCCGGCCCTCTCTGCAGGACTGCCTGGCCCACCCGTGGCTGCAGGACGCTTACCTGATGAAGCTGCGCCGCCAGACGCTCACCTTCACCACCAACCGGCTCAAGGAGTTCCTGGGTGAGCAGCGGCGGCGCAGGGCCGAGGCCGCCACCCGTCACAAGGTGCTGCTCCGCTCCTACCCAGGCAGCTCCTAGTGGCTCGGACCACAGCCTGGCCCCGGGATTCCACTCGGGGCTCCCGCGGATGCTGCGGGACATTCCAGGGCCCACGCTGAACTGGGTGGACTCAGGGCTTCGGACACCACCAGCAGAAAAATCCAGCCGGGCTGTTACCTCATGGACCTGTGGGGACAGAGGCCCCGGTTTCGGGGGCTTCGGCCAGTGCCACCAGGCCAGAGCCAGAGAGCCGGAGCCTCACTGGCCGGGCTGGGTGGAGTTGGAAGCAGGAAGAAGGGCAAGAACAGAATGGGGAAGTGCGAGGAAGGGGTGGGAGACTGTAGGAAGGTTCTGGGAATGGGGGACAGTGCATCCAGGGGAAAGGAACCCAGGAGGGTGTGAGTGGAAAAGGAAGGAGCCCAGGGGGTCAAGGCCATGGGCTGGGAGTGCCAGTGAAGCAGGGACAGGACATGGGATAGTGACAGGGTGCCAGAGGCAGCGTGTGAGAGAGGGCAGCAAGATAGGGGAGGGAGAGGAGAGAGGACTCAGGTGGGGATGGGATGGGCCAGCTGCCAGCATCCCATTGAAGAATTGTGGAGGGCTGGAGGCAGGAGGCAGTGGTCACTCAACCCAGTGCTCTCCTGTTGCACTCCAGTGAGTGCAGCTCTGGGCTCTGTGTTGGCCCAAGGATGTCCCCACTGGCCCTCCATGGCCTTTGCCCTTCTTCCCATTCATATTTATTTATTTATTGACTTTTATGAAGTTTTCCTTCCACCCAATCCTAATTGCTCATGTTGTCCTGACCATCCCCCTCCACCCAAGCCATCCAGCTGTCTGTGCAGCTGTCTGTCTGTCTGTCACAAGGGAAATAAAAATAGCAAGCAGCAGGACCTATGTGTGATCTATGGGGAGAGATGGCTGGGGAGCAAGGTGCTGTGACAGGAGTATTCCAGCTTCTCTGGGCCAGTGAGAGCCCAGGTATACCAGCCAGCACCTTCAGATGTCCTCCTCCCTCCCTGGCCCTCCTGGCCCCTTATCTCTCCCTTATTCCTAGAGGGAAGGGAGACTTCAGTCTGCTTTTCCCTCTGACATTTCTGGAATCCTGGCGAGACCCTGAATCCTCACCACAACCCTCTAACCACACTCTGGTGGTCCCCACCTTTTCTCACATGTTCCATCATCACACCTTGGAAGATGCCAGGCTCTGAAATGGACCGGCCCACACCCCAATCCTGGCTCAGCCTTCTTTCTGCAGTGCTTCCCAGCTCTGGTCCTGGTGCCCCAAGCAGAGGGAATTTTATCATGATGCGAGCAGGTGGTGTGAAGAGCTGCACAGGAGCCCAGGACAGGCCCACCCCCCATGCTCTCAGTGTCAGACCACAAATCAGCTGTGAGTTCTCTGGGCAGTGTGTCTGCTGTGATGATGCTACAGACGAGCATTTTCCTAGACCCCAGGGACACCCAGACTGGACCTTCTGATCCCCATGGCAAGCTGCTGTGAAGTCTGCTGGGGGTGAAGGCACCTCGACTCTGGCTGCAGTGCCACAGAATGGTTAGTGGGTTCTAGCACTGAGGTGGGGAGAGAAGGGAGCCAGTTCTCCTGGGGTCCAAAGGGACTGTCCTCCCCGCTTCACCCCTTGAAAACCCTGTTCTTGACAAAGTGACAAGAATAAAGTTGCCACCATGAGCAGAGAGCTGGTGCTGGTGTGTTGCTGATCTAGGTTGAGGGCCCCTTGGCTGGAGCCCAAACAATGTCATCCCAGCCCAGCCTCTCTGGCTTCTCAGAACCTGAGGGAAAAGGCAATACCTGTCATCATAAAACAGCAGTTAAAGCAGCTGGAAGGGACCAGAGAGACATCTTTTAGCTCACCTGTCATTTTAGCGATGAAGATATACAGTTTGCCTGTGAGAATCTGTAATCCCCTACTCACTGCAAGTGTTTTCATATAAAAATGAGGTGCCTGAACTCATATCTTGATAAATGGTAAAATTCCTCTCCCGTCCCCCTTCTGATCTTGAACTCCCTTCCCATCTCCATTGGAAATGGCATATGAACTGCTTGTTCCAAACCCGGAGGAGCAAAGGTAATTTATATCAGCAGAGCGGTGTCAAAATTGCTCTGATCAAAAGGTGACAGTGCTCCATACCCGGGTGGGCAGTTGCCGTAAATGGAAGCAATGCTCTGCCTGGCAGGCTGGACACCAGGCATGTCCCATCACCTCTGGTGCCCCTAAACATCAGCTTTGCCCCATAATGGGCCTGGGCCCCCCCCAAAGTTGCTGAGTCAGTATTAGTGCCAATCTCCAGGGACAGTGCAGCCCATACCATATCACATGGAGGAGAGTGCCTGGAGATGGGGGTGGCAGGAAGGGATGCTGTTCTTAAACATCTTTACGGTCCTCTCTAGGTTTATCTCCGTTTACCGCCAGGGGGCACAGTGCGGAAATGACAACCCTAGACTCTGGGGTGGGGGTGGGGGTGAGGCGCTTTCGGATTGGTCCGGACAGCCACGTGGCCCTCTCATAATTGGCTGGATGGACAGTTAAGTCCGCCACTTCTCTGGCTTCATTCAAGAAACCCTCCTCCGCCACCCCTCTCCCCCTCCCGCCCCCAGCCAACACCTGCACCCCTTAACTTACAGTATCTCAGGAAGGGCACATTGTCCCATTGTCCAGGGACCGACTGAGTGTTAAGTTGCCCCCCACAGGAGTTGAATCTCCTGTCGGCGTGGAGCCCGCCTGGTTCTCCCCGGAGTGGGATGGTACCCCTGGCCTTGGAAGGAGATGAGGCCTTGTCCAGCTGTCCAGCTGTCCAGGCGCTGACGCCCGGTGCACCCCAGAGCCGCTCGAGTTTCCCCCCACCCCACCCCCCTAGGCCTATTCTAGCGACTGAGCCAGCATCGCAGGCATCCTCGGGCTAAATAAGGAGCCTGCTTGGGTCAAGGGGCGGGAGCTGGGGTCCCGGGGGGCTTGGGGTAACCACGCCAAACAAGGCAAGGAGGGGAGCGATGTATAAAACCAGGGCCCAGGGCTGAGCACCTGCCCGCGCCCCTACTGTGCCATCGGAAGGGTTTCGCACCGCCTGCTGCCCACCTAGTTCACTCAGGTCCCGAAGTCGACGCCCCCACCCCCACGGTGAGTCCGATCCTCAGACCAGCTCTAGCCACTTCCATCCCGGGGACGTTTTGAATCCGAAGGGCAAAGGCTGAAGGTCGCAGTCTCTGTGTCAGCCTAGACCCCCGTGTTTGTTTTCCGCTGCCCAGATGTCCAAAGCGGCTCCCGCCAAAAAGCCGGCGGCCACGGCCCCGCCTCCGGGATGTAGCCTGGACATCAACGACCCCCAGGTCCAGAAAGCGGCCATTCGTATCCAGGCCTCTTACCGGGGCCACAGGTAAGGGGGTAGCCCTAGCGCCTCTGAGGGAAGGGAGCTGAAACCGCAGAGTCCGCATTCCGCATTGGGGAAGGGCGGTCCTGAGCACAGGGCCAGGGACTGCCAAGGCCACTGGGTTTGGGGGGAGCAGCTGCTGAGGTGTGGCAGGAGGCCGACAAGAGCAGGTCATTTCATCGGGGTAATGATTCAGGAGCGGCCCCTCCCCCGCACCTCCCGTGCTTACGGGTCTAGTCGGCCGAGGGGGCGGGCAGGGGACTGTGTGCGGGCGGACAGGGCTGCGGGAGGGTGCGAACGGTGTCTGGGAGCTCTGGGCCCTGCCCCTGCCCGCGAGCAGGTCCCGGAAGGAGCTGCGGGAGACCGGGCCGCCGCGCGTGCTGGAACCGCTGAAGGACGTGGTGCTGATCGAGGGCAGCGCGGCCAAGCTGACTTGCCGCATTTCGGCTTTCCCGGACCCATTCATCCGCTGGAGCAAGGACGGCAAGGAGCTGCGCGACGGGCCCAAGTATCGCTACATCTTCGAGGACCCTGACGTAGTCGCGTTGGTGGTGCGCGATGGCGAGCTGGCGGACCTCGGCCAGTACAGCATCAACGTAACCAACCCCTTCGGCCAGTGCTCCGACTCGGCGCGCATCCTCGTGGAAGGTGCGCACGCCCCGCGTGCAATGCCGCGGAGCAGAGCAGCATCGCCGTCTGCAGCCGGGGTCAGCCACGCGTTTATCCTCGGGCCTAGCTGAGTCCGGATGGGGATGTGGCCAGCCCAGCCCCTGGCACAGCCTGAGGCACAGAGTAGGGCGCAGAGCCGCAGGGCGTGTGTAGTCTCTTCTACCTTGGGATCCCATCCCACCCAGGCTAACAAGTCCGGCATGGGTTTCAACCACTCGACTTCAGAGCTCCAAGGGCACCGCGATCCAGGGGGGAAGCTAGGGTTAGAGAGAGCCCTGATCTTCTGGCTCCCAACCCAGGGCAATCTCCACTATCCAGAGCTGTCTCCAAGGCACCCCGAGAGGTGTGAGCATTCCTGGGCTTTCACCCATAGTATCTCTTCTTATCCTCCATTCAACCCTACGAAGTAGGAGGGGCAGGGATTCATCTCGTTCAACAGCTGAGTTGCTGAAGCCCCCAAGAGGCTAAAGACGTGCCCAAGGTCACGCTGAGAGTTCAAATCCATCTCGTATTTAGGGCCGGGTAATAGTTGGGAGGGTGATGTCCCGCCTCACCTTTAGGTCCCTCACCGGGTCGCACTCCCTTTCCCTTTCTCTAGTCCCGGCGAAAATTCAAAAGGGACCGGACAACACCAAGGCGCGCAAAGGCACCACCGTGACGCTGACTGCGGCGATCATGGGCGAGCCTGCGCCCAACGTGGGCTGGACCAAGGACGGCAAGGACATCGAGGAGGATGACAGGCGAGGGCGGGGAGCGGCTGCAAAGGCAGGGCCTGGCGCTGGAGCCTGGGCCGGGTGGGGCCCAGAAAACCCGCGGGAGTGGGACGAGGGAGGGGAACCGGGAGGCAAAGAACAGCGCTGGCTAAGAAGCCGGGCCCGGGAAGCCCGTAAACTGACACGCGGCCCCGCCCCCTCCCCCCGCAGGGTTTACTTCGAGATCGGCAGCACCAACACAACGCTGACCATCCGCCGGGCCACCCCGCAGGACAGCGGCAAGTACGAGGTGTACGTGGAGAACAGTCTGGGCATGGACCAGAGCTTCGCTCGCGTGGACGTGGCCTGAAAAGGACCCTCGGAACTTTCGCTCTGTCTCCACGCCTTGGGGTGGGTGGGACTAACAACCCCCTTCTTCTTGCTTAATAAAGCTGCTCTCTCGGACCCTCCGCGTCTGTTCTCCTCTTATGAATCGCCATTTCCACTCCCCGGTACCCACACACCGAAGTCACACTGTTGGGGGCAGAGAGAAGTTTGGAGAGTGCCTAGTCCAGCGTCTGTATTCACAGACAGTAAATCTGAGCGAGATCGGCTTCTCTCACGGTGGAAAGCTGTTTCACTGCCCAGCAGGAGGGCAGAGGCGTCTACGACTCCTTCTTTTCTTTTGTAACCTTCAAGCCTCACCCTTTCGTGGGGGGGATTTGCGCGCTGCCCACGTCCGTTTCAAGGGTGACCACACCCCACTCTCCTCTGCAGGCTCGCTTCCCCTGTGACCTACTTTCTCTACTTGAACTACTACCCCCGGGCCCATTCCCAGACGGCTCGCGATCCTAACCCTGGCTCCCGCCTCTGCTTCTCATTTCGACCTCCCCTTCAATCCCTTGGCCACGCCTCCTTGTTCTCCCACAAATTCCACCCCTTTCTCTGTGGGAACGAGGGAGGAACTTCAGAACTACAATTCCCGGCAGGCCCTGCGAAGTTCTCGCGAGTGGCGAGAAGACACGTGCGCGGAAGCAGCCAGCGGTAGCGGGCGGCAGAGCTGGCGTAAAGGGGACTGGGGGTAAAGAGATCCGATGGAGGGGTGGCGAAAGGGGGAGAGGGCCGGGCACGGCCCCTAGACGAAGGGCGGCGCGGAGGTCCGGGCTGGCTCTCCGCACGGCGGATGCAGTCCTGGTCCCACAAGCCCTGGATATGCGAGGTTAGGGTTTATTAGTCAGTTGTGGGGTTCAGAGGGTCAGCAATCAGTCCTCCGAACCCAAAGATTCGGCACTTGTCAGTCTTGGGACACAGGCGATTGGCATGTTGTGATTGGGATGCTAAGGGAACCTGTCTTTTTGATTCAGGGATCATCACCCTAGAGGTTAATTTTAGGATTTAGGTTCAGCATAGAAAGGGGTTTTGCCAGGGGTTGGAGTTGTCAAATGTAGATCAGTGTTAGTTTAATATTTAAAGTGGACTCTTGGGACTGTAGTGAAGTATGTGGGGCTCACTCGGGATTTGGGGTTCAATATCAGGATTCACTGTTGGGATGCAGGGCTTAACATCTAGAGTGAGGGTGGACCAATTTGGGAATCCGTGGTTTGGGGGTTTGGTTTTTGAAGGTTTGGGGTGTGAGAGGGAGGTCTATTGCTGAGCTTTCAGCCAGAAGGAAGTCTGTTAGGGATGAGATTGCGAGGTGTGGATTTCCGAATTTGGGAGGAATCACTGTGAGGTTTGAGGCTGGCTGGATTTGGGTTGGGATTTGAGATGTGTGAGGTGGGGTGCCCAGGGAGGGACTAGATTGAATTTATATCCCGGGAGGGCTCAGTGTTGCTATTTTGGGTTTAGGGTTTGGTTGGGATATGAGTGGGGTTCCAGGATTGGGGTGTGAGATCTGAGCCTAACTTTCCTTTGCTATTTGAGGTCTAGGTTGCAATTGCCGTCATGCTTAAAGCTGTGATCCTGATTGGAGGCCCTCAAAAGGGTGAGGAGCCAGGGGAATGTCGGGAGGTGGTTGAGCTGGAGTGGCTGGGGAGCAGAAAACAAAAATATGCTTCTTTCTCCTCTCTCAGGGACTCGCTTCAGGCCTTTGTCTTTTGAGGTGCCCAAACCCCTGTTTCCAGTGGCAGGGGTCCCTATGATCCAGCACCACATTGAGGCCTGTGCCCAGGTAATCCTGTAGGCTCCCCTCTCCCACCTCCATTCATCTCCTTCATGCTGTATTTCCCCCTTTACCAACCATGACCTCTTCCCACCAGGCATAACTCCAGGGACCACCATTTACCAATGACACTATGAATCACCTCCCTCCACCATCACCACACCACCAGTTGTGCAATGCGGTTGTCATGCGTCTCCTCCTAATCCAGCTTCTTGTCTGGCTTCTTCTTGCTCATATTTCACTACTATGGATTGTGAGATTAGGCAGGAATCCTAGAGACAACTTAAAGCCGTCGCATGAGAAACCTTAATGATAACAAAGCACAGAATCATACTACCCTTGCTCACTATGGAGCTAATTCCTTTATTGCTTTTGGTATTGGGACTGGCAAGGTTGATTTGAGTCCAGTCTCTGCCTGCTAAAAGGAATTAAGCAAATTTCTCACCCTTTCTCAGCCATGGTTTCCTTATTTGTAAAGCGGGGCTGATTAGACCTACTTTGTGGGGTTGCAAAGCTTAGAGATGATGTTTGTAAAGTAATTAGTACAATGTAGACACTTGATAAATGGTATCCTTAACCTCATGCTGATCTTAAGCTCAGATTGACAGATAATAAATATGGGGGAAATGAATGGATTATCCTATAATGCAGTTTGATAGGCAAACTCCTAGGGTGAACCCCACTTCAGATTGGGGGGGGGAAATAATCTATGATAATAAAAGCATAATATGCTAATTAGACTGGACGTCCTTCCAGACAGCCTTCTGGATGAAGCTGGGGCTGTGAGGGAAGCCCGGGTCCCGGGTGCCAGAGGGAAGCTGGTGGTGGCAGCCGGAGGAAGGAAGGCCTACTCTTGCATGAATTTCGTGCATCGGGCCTCTAGTAGAATAATAAAGGATTAAAGGACTCTAACTTTGAGAGTCTTTTAATTAAGGGAAATAGACTCTAACTTTGTCATTGTCCAGAGGAGAAATCGGACCGGCATGGTAAAATGAATGCCCAAGGCCACAGTTGAGACTGAACATGTGATTTCTGGATTTTGGGCCAGTACCAGGGATTTCTCCCTCCCATAATTCCCTCCTATCAGATGCTGTTCTTCTCTCAACCTCTTCCCTTGACCTCAGGTTCCTGGGATGCAGGAGATTCTGCTCATTGGCTTCTACCAACCTGACGAGCCACTTACCCGGTTCCTAGAAGCTGCACAACAAGAGTTTAACCTTCCAGTCAGGTGTTTGTGCGCATGTGCTGTGTAGGGGTGGGGGAGCAATGCCCTAAGCATCTGAGTTCTCAGGAGTGGGTTGAGCCAGCAGGGCCAGAAGTCACCCACACACTAGGAGGTTTCTGAATTCCTGTATATATTGAGTTTTTCTGTGGGGCTTGGGCAGGCATATCCTGGGAACAGGAGGGGTCAGTGCCCAGGTTCATGGTATCTGACTCCTCTGATCTCACTGAGCTGGCTCTGGGGTCCCTGGGGACAGGTACCTGCAGGAATTTGCGCCTCTGGGCACAGGAGGTGGTCTCTACCACTTCCGGGATCAGATCCTGGCTGGGGGCCCTGAGGCCTTCTTCGTGCTCAACGCTGATGTTTGCTCCGACTTCCCCTTGAGCGCTATGTTGGCTGCCCACAGACACCAGCCTCACCCTTTCTTGCTCCTGGGCACCACGGTGAGGCGGGCAGGAGGGTGTCGAGAGGGTGATCCAGAGAGGTTCCTGGGATGCAGGGTGTTGGGAGGCAGGGCCAGAACAGGGAGTTGGAGTGGGAATGGAGGTCAGGAGGGGTAGGTGCTAGAAACCCCAGCAGTAATGGAGGTGGTGGTGGAGAGAGACCTTGAGCCCTTTAGCTGCTCAGAAGTAGAGGGGGGAGGGCAGCTGTCAGTTGTCACCCCATCTGAAGACTTGTCAGTGGCAGAGCTACGTGCCAGGTGCTATAGGAGAGGGAAAGCACGAGAGAGAAAACAGACCTTGCTGCCCTGGATCAGGCAGGTCACTCCCTTGTTGTGTCTGTCAGGCTAACAGGACACAGTCCCTCAACTATGGCTGCATCGTAGAGAATCCACAGACGCATGAGGTAAGAGCAGAGAGGAGGCTGGCTGGGTGCCTATTCTGTGTATCGTCATTCTCCCACTCTTCAGCCTCTAGAGCAGCGGTTCTCAGCCTCTGGGTCGCGACCCCTTTGGGGGTCGAACGACCCTTTCACAGGGGTCGCCTAAGACCATCGGAAAACACATATATAATTACATATTGTTTTTGTGATTAATCACTAGGCTTTAATTATGTTCAATTTGTAACAATGAAAATACATCCTGCATACCAGATATTTACATGAATTTACATGACGATTCATAACAGTAGCAAAATTACGGTTATGAGGCAGCAACGAAAATAATTTTATGGTTGGGGGTCACCACAACATGAAGATCTGTATTAAAGGGTCGCGGCATTAGGAGGGTTGAGAACCACTGCTCTAGAGAATGCTGGAATGCTATGGGGTGGGCCCCAATCTTGTCCAACAGGTGTGGCACACCCTCAGTTGTTCCCTTCTATCTCTTTAAGAAAGATTAGGAAGAGGTAATAGATAAATGCCATGGGTGTGGTGCTCCAATAGATATATGCATAGGTTGCTATGGCAACACAAAAAGGGCCCCTACCCAGCCTATCTGGGTGGGGGTGGGGAGGGCTCCCTGGAGGAGGTGAGCTCTAAACTGAGTTAAATTTGTCAGCATGAAGGAGACAGGAAGGCATTGCAGGTAGAGGGAATGATACATGCAAAGACATGGAGGCAGGAAACAGCATAGTGCCTCCAGAATTATGGAGGTGGGAGCATAATTAGCAAGGCGGGCGTGGGGCTGGGGATCTCTGTCCTTGTCTCTGAAACTCCCTGCTCTGGAGCCTCACTGACTTTCATACACCCCTTTTGTCTGTTCAAGTTTTAGTATTAAAAATACATATGTGGCCGAAACCGGTTTGGCTCAGTGGATAGAGCATTGGCCTGCGGACCGAAAGGTCCCGGGGTTGATTCCGGTCAAGGGCATGTACCTGGGTTGCGGACTGTTTGCTGTTTACAGTGATTATAAGACAGTAGAAGCCCGGTGCATGAAAATTCATGCACAGTAGGGGGCGGGGGGTCCCTCAGCCCAGCCTGTGCCCTCTCACAGTCCAGGAGCCCTCAGGGGGATATCCGACTGACAGCTTAAGCTGTCATCTCCAGCCATGAGCCCAGCTTCTAGCTGAGCACACTGACCACCAGGGGGCAGCTCCTGTGTTAAGTGTCTGCCCCCTGGTGGTCAGTGTATGTCATAGCGACCAGTCATTCTGCTGTTTGGTTGATTTGCATATTAGCCTTTTATTATATAGGATATTTACACATGCACAGAGTTTTGTGTTAGGCATTAACGAGGTGTGAAAGAAACAGCCAGAAAGACACAACCCTGCCTCTCAGGAGCCCTCATTCTGGGGGAGACATCAAAAACCAACCATTGCAGAGGACACAAGTGCCACTATGGGTGGGTGAGGGGTGGCCGGAGAACAGGAGTGCCCAGAGCTGAGAAGCTGACTCTGGGGCAGACAAGAGTGTCCTTAGAGAGGGAGTGACGATGTCAACTCGGTTTTTGAAATCAAAGTCTTCCAGACAAAGAGTTGGTTAAGAGCATTCCAAAAGACACCGGCATGCCGTGGCATGGAGTTGTGTCCTGGAACCACTGGGAGGTAGGGAGGATCAGGAGGGAGAAGGCAGACAGTTTGGACTTAACTTGAAGGTGGAGTTGAAGGGCAGTGACAAGATATGCTCTGCATTTTAGGAAGACTCCCGTGGCAACAGGAGGACTGGCCATTTGGAGGGTCTTAGGGGATGGTGGCCATGGCCCCTCTGCTGACCCCAGCCTGCTCTGTCCTCAGGTTCTGCACTATGTGGAGAAACCCAGCACGTTTGTTAGTGACATCATCAACTGCGGCATCTACCTCTTTTCCCCGGAAGCCCTGAAGCCCCTTCGGGATGTCTTCCAGCGTAATCAGCAGAATGGGCGACTGTGAGGCAGACCCCATGGCCCTGTAACCCCAAGTACCCTGAGTCACAGCCCCCCTGCCCCAGGCTCTGCTGGCTCCATCTCAGCCAGCTCATCTTCCTCCTCCCTTCCCCCTTCCTCTTGTCATCTCCAGCCAATCCTCTCCAGTTCCTCCCCTTCTAACCTCATTCTGTCCCTCTTCTTTATCCATCCCAGTTCCTCCTCTGTCACCACCTGCCCACTCCCCTTCTGGTCCATTTCTCTCAAGCCCTGAGTGTCCCAGAGATGTCTTTCAGAACAGACGGTAACACACACACTTGGGCGCACATATGTTTGGGTGCAGGCATGCGTGTGTGCACGTGTGCATGCACACGCACACACACACACTCTCAGGCTGAGGAGGCTCCCTTTGGAGTATAGTACCCCAAAGGGAGCTATGCTCACCACAAACCACAATCCCAGGGTGGTCCTCCTAGGCCTGGGAACGGTTCCCTTCTCTGGCTCCCCTGCCTTCATCCCTTCTCATGCCTCATTCCCTCATAGCCATCTTTTCACTCCCACTCTTATCTCTGCTTCTCTCTCCATCTCTCCGGCCTCTTTGTTTCTGCTGAATTGGCATCTCTACCATCTCTCTCTCCCTCTTTTTCTGTGACTGTCTCTGCCCTCACCAGCTGCCTTCCTCTGGGGTGAGTCTGTCTGTGTTTCATTCCATCCAATGAGAGGGAGGGACCGGAGGTGGGGTTTAGAGGGGTGGATGGGAGGAGGATGGGATAATTGGGGGAAGCCAAGTCTGGTTGAACTCCTTCTGGACTTGGGGCAGGATGGGCAGCAGGTCTATGCCTGGGGCTCCCCTGGGATAATCCCCAGCTGGGAGAGTGAGGGGCTGAGTGGTGGGCGAGCCTCCTGGGATGTGAGCATCCTTGGGAGAGGCCTTGCAAGGTAATGGGGTTCCCTCCGATTCCCCTTCCTGAGAGACTGTATTGGCCACCCAGTTGGGCTCAGTTGGGGAACTGATGTCAGCGTCCTGTCCCCTCTACCAGGGAGGACTCCTCAGGCCTGTGGCGGGGGGCAGGCACCATCCGCCTGGAGCAGGACGTGTTCTCAGCCCTGGCTGGGCAGGGCCAGATCTACGTGCACCTTAATGACGGTATCTGGAGCCAGATCAAGTCTGCAGGGTATGGGAGAGGCCTCTGATGGGGTGTCTGGGGGTTGAGACTTTAGGACAGTGGGCACAGGCCCTGCTAGCCCCTGAGCCCCTGCTCTACTTTGTGGCCCCCAGCTCGGCCCTCTCTGCCTCCCGCCTCT